CCACCACCACCAACAACAAAAGTGCAATAGCAGCTTCCTCTGCCCAGTCTCAGTGGTCCCTGCCAGTCGGCCACCTCTACTGGACTTAAGCTCTGTGATGTCAGGGACAGCACTGCCATGGCCACAGCCAAGGGCCCAGTAGTTGGGGGCACTGTACCTGCCAAAGTTGAGGTCACTGAGAGGGCGGTCTCCCACGGTGCCCCGTGCCCCACGGTGCCCCATGCCCCATGGTGCCCCGCGCCCACACCCTCGAGGGTGGGACGAAGAGATAGGGCCCAACCCGCGAGGGGCTGGGCAGAGGGCGGGCAGTGCTGTCAGGGCTTCAGCTGCTGCTGGTTGAGTCACACCTGCTGCCAGTGTCAGAGGGTAAAGGATGTGGGGGGGATCCGGGCAGCCACTCCCGCTCCTGCCCCCAGCACATGGCACAGAGTCTGGTATTGACATGTATGTGTCCCTGAGCTCATGGCTGTCAGCAGGGCAGACAGGGAGAACCGATCGGGAACACTTGGAAACAAAGGTACCACTGAGTCCACGCGTATTGACGGCTGTTCTAGGCGCTGAAGATCCAGGACTGAACCAGATAGAGGAAACGCACACCTCACGGATCTGACATTGTAGTGGGGGTGACCAGGGAGAACGAACAGATCGTAGAACGTCGCTGGGGATCGTGCCAGGGAGGAAGGGGCATGGGAGCTGGGCAGTCCCTAAGTTACATGGGGGGGGGGCAGGCAGGACCTCCCAGAGGTAGGAAGGTGTGGGGTGAGCAGTCCAGGCGCTGGGGGAGGAGCCTCCCGAGGTGGGGCAGCCTGGGGCCTGCGGGAGGGGGTGGGGGCAGGAGACAGGGGAGAGCGGCTTCCCTGCAGGTGCACCGAAAGGCGCACAGCGTTTAGAGCCTAGAGCCTTGAATGGTGCCTGATGCACAGAGGGGCTCAGGCCACTGTTGACTCCATGAGATGAGTTCTACTTGTGGGGAGCACTCCTGGAGCTGAGGACGGAGGGGAGATGGAAAGGGGGTGTCAGGAGGCTGCCCCAACCATTCAGGTGACAGGGGGTGGTGCTCGGGCCAGGGAGGGACCGAGAGCCGCGAGGAGGAGGGCTCCACTTTGGAGACATTTGAAAGGAAGAGCTGCCGGGCTCTCTGAAGCCCAGCCTCTGCCCTGTGTGGGGGCCGTGGATGGAGGAGGCAGTGCCGGGTGCCCGGGAGCCCTGGCACTGTGGTTCCCCGGCACTGCACCGGGGCCCACTGGGGAGCTCTTTAAAATTTGAATGACCCAAAAATAAAAATAAAAAATACATACACACAAAAGAAAAACATAGAGAAAAAAGAAAAAAAGAGAGAGAAAATAAAATTCAGATTTCCATGCCATGCCCAGATGGTGGGTTTGGCCTGGACTTCGTGTTTTGACATCTAAAGAGAGAGGCACGGTTTGTCACTTTTCCCTGGAGAGAGACACTTACAAGGTTACGGGGCTAGCCTAACGCCGTCATCCTGGTCAGTTCTGGTGCCGGAATTCGAACTCAAGTTCTCTAGCTCCAAAGACTGTGCCTGGCGAGTCTTCTCCTCCCCCCCCTCCCCTTGCGCAGGGGGAGTCTGGGCCTGGACCCCGACCGGCCCCTCCTCCGAGGGTGACCGGGGGCGGGGCTGAGTGACCGCCACGGGAGCCTTAAACCACAGTGGACAGGGGCGCAGCCGCTCACGCCTGCGGCTTCACGGCCGCACGGGCTGGTTTGAACACGCTCTGCCAGGGACGTGCCCAAGGTCACGTAGCAGGCGAGCGGAGCCAGGACAAAGCCCCCGTCTGCCTGGGCCTCCGATCCAGCAGCAGCCGCCCTACCGGCCCAGCAGCCACATCACAGGCCCGTGTTTGCACAACAGAAACAGCTGGGAGCACCCGGGGCCTCCCTGCTCGCAGCCGCGTTTAGCCTGGCGCCCGGGGCATTTCAAACGTCTTCCCTGAAACGCGTTGCCAACACGTACAAATTATACCCACATCCGGGCTTTTGGATTTTCTTGAAAACAGAGCAGAGCGGCCAAGACCGGGCTCACTTTTCTGCCGGCCACGGTGGGGTGGCTGGTGCCCAGGACCCACCACCTCTGCCGCCACAGCTGCCCTGGCCACCCCGCCGCCCGCCCCCCTCCCTGCGGCTTCTCCATCCCAGGTGGCACGTGTTTACGGTATTTTTACCTCCCGCCTTGTCCTGAACTTGTGGGCACGTCTCCAGGGCAGAGTCAGCCTCTAGGGATGCGCGTGGGTCGAGCTGACCACCTGACAGATTTTTCTGTTTAGGGACCTGCTCCTTTTCTCTCCCCTGGGGACCCCGGGCCGCCCTCTCTCTCAAGGTCAGACTGGGGCTCCGCCCCTCTGGACGAGGCCTCATGGACTCAGGCACCAGGGCACCGCTTCCGGGAGGGTGGTTGGAGGAACACTAGTGAGCTGTGTGTGTGTGCACCCACGTGTATGCATGAGGTGTGTGTATCGGTGAGTGCATGTGTATGTGAATGTGTGTGTGCATGTGTGCACACATGTGTGCATGAGATGTATGTATCGGTGAGTGTATGTGTGTGTGCGTGTGTGCACATATGTATGCATGAGATGTGTGTATCTGTGAGTGTGTATGTTCATGTGCAGGTGCACATATGTATGCATGAGACATGAGATGTGTGTGAGTGTGAGTGTGTGTGTGTTGAGGTGGGTAAAAATCTGCCAGACAAAAGAGTTCATTGTGCAAACAAGATTGAAAAGCAAAGGCTTCTGCCGACAGCTCCCCTTGGGGTGTGCCCAGGCCATGGGCGCTGACAGCTCTGAGCAGGTCTCGGATGCGTGTTGAACTTGATTTCTTCCACCGTCTGCAAACCTCCATGACCAGGGAGCCTTGGGGAGTGAGGGGCCTGTGAAAGTCCCCGCAGACCCGCTTTCTCACAGCCGCAAGGAGGGAGCGCAGAGGTGGAGGTGGGGAGCTGGGGCTGCAGTGAGGGCAGTGGGGCCTGAGAGACACAGGGGGGTGAGGGTGGGTGGGAAGGTGGCTTCCAGGCCCACCGGGGGGAGGGGCAGGCAGGAGAGGCAGTCAGGCTGTACAATCTCCGAGTCCGGGAGAGAATGTCTACAAGGCGTGTGCCTGGCACCTGATGAGGTGTCCGTGCAGCTTGAGAGATGAGTGTGATCACGGAGAACTGAATAACCTGCTAATGACCTTGAAGAGCAGCCGTGGAAGCTGGGGTGGGGGGTGGGGGGAGGAATGATGTATGTGAGAGTCTCCTCTGCCTGGAGGGTCCTGGTGCAGGAGGCTCAGCCATGAACTCAGCTGCTTTGGGGAGAGAGTGTAGGACTGACTGTATACAGTAGCCCCCTGTTATCCATGGATTTGTTTCCCACGGGGTCAACCACCGTCTGAAAATATTCAATGGAATATTCCAGAAATAAACAATTCAATGAACAGTTCATGTGTTTTAAATTGCAGGCTGCTCTGCATAATGTGATAAAACCCCACGCCATCCTGCCCCTCCCACTCGGGACATGAGTCACCCCTTTGTCCAGCGTGCCCACGCTGTCGACGCTGCCCTCATGGGAGCACAGGGCTTGTGCCAACTCACCCTGATTTCACTTAATAATACCACAGCCACTAACTTTCATTTCACACAGTCTAGTGCAGTGATTGTTCTATTTTATGATCACTTATTATTGTCGATCTCTGACTGTGTCTAATTGTAAATTCAACTTTCTCAGAGGTGAGTATACACAGGCAAAAACATAGCACCTCTAGGGGTCGGCACCATCCGTGGTTTCGGGCATCCATGAGGGGTCTTGGAACGTGTCCCCCGCAGATAAGGGGGGCTATTGTATATCAGCAGTCTCACACCTGAGCGTGCACAAGAATCACCTGGGAAGCTTGTTAAAGGTGTGGGTCCCACCCCCACCTCCAGAAGTGTGGGTTCAGGAACAACACCTTTAACCAACACACAGGTGATTCTGTGTAAGTTCTGATGGGACCCACTGTTCTGTAGGGCTAACGGTGAGTCTGAATGAAAGGAATGAAAGAAGGAGAGGGAATAGCACTGACAAAGCTAAAGACACACGACTTGGTGTGAAAGTGGAAGCGTGAGCCGATGATAAAAGAGCAGGAAGTGCTCATGAATGAACCACGGGGCTCCGATAGGCTTGTGTGACTTGGCTTTGTGGGCACAATCCATCAATTACCCCCCGCCCCCAACCACCACCGAGGAGAAGCAGGGGGTTAGGTGAGGTGAGAGGCTGCGCTGTGTGTGTGAGTCATGGCTGCGGGGAGGGGGGTTCGGCCCTCAGGGGAGGGGAGGTTCCGGGTTTATGAGGCTTTGTGGAACTGTTCAGGGGCCAGGCTGCCGCGTCACAGGCCTGGTTCCCCGCCTGCATCCTGCTGGGTCGTGTGTCTCTGATAAATGCTTAGATGGTTCAGGCTAAATGAGTACCAGTCCAGATAGAAGCAGGAGATCAGAGAGTCCCAGACAGCAGGTCTCCGGGTACAAAAAGGACATGATATAGCGCTGTAAGAGAAAACAGACCACAAATACCACAGCCCTTCCCCACGTGAGGCTCTTATAAAGACCAAGAGGGAAAACAAACAAACAAACAAAAGCAAAGGCAACTAGAAACTCCAGGAAAAACAAAAAGGCTGCACGGGAAAGGAGATTTAAACAAGTGCACATCTCCCCTGCGTAACAACACTGACACACTGGGAATACTGTAAATGGTGGTGACTGTATAAACAGCAATATGACAACGACATTGGACGTGGTCTCAAGGAGCTGAGCCATTAGCCAGCAGCTGTCATACACGATCAGGGACAGGTGACCCCAAATTGATATTTCAAGCCAATCGAGATGTAAGAATGGACATGTATTGTGTCATCCTAACCACCCAAAGAAGGGGCTAACGGTTAACATGGACCGTGGTAGCTGGGAGAGAGGAAGAAATGGTTGCAG